CTAACAGCCATCAACTGCCAATGACTTCTTAGATAGGGAGTGGCCTGGGGAGTTGTTGGAATGTTGGGTGGCTTGAGCAGTCCTTGTGTGGACAAATCACAGCTGCTAAGAGTTCATGCATAGATTGGCCCTGTCATGTCCAAAAGACTCGAATTGGCACCCCATCCCCAACTTCTGGCTTATACAGTCTTTCTGCCTCCTCTTCCAGAATGTTTCCTAAGCCTTGGGTGGAGGGGTGTGGATAGATAGATGTTACTGATTCGATATACTTGCACTGTTGTGAATCTCTGTAGCAACAGTACCCACTGCAAAAGAAAGACTCTGACAAGAGTTGAGAACCGCCTTAATCTATGGTTATAATGACAAAAGGGTAGTTTATTACTGTGTCCATGCGGGACAGTAATAGTAGTAAGTTTACTTGGGTTTTTGGTTAGGTTTGCTGTACCAGGCATGAGTTTCTGTGTGAAAAACAGGCCTTAACTCCAATCAAAAAGTGATTGGTTACCCCATAATCTTCCTGTTATTCTTGAATCCATGGAGATAGGCTGTTAGGCTGATTATTATAATAGCACTCTCAAGTTCACAGATGAGAAAGAATTTTGATGAATTTTTCCCCCATCATCTGCACAGCACTTTCCTGTTCTATGAAAGCTAGCTATCAGGGATGGAGCTTTTGGTCAGTGCCAGCTGGATTTCTCCTTATCTTGTGGCTAAAATGTGTGGTGTCTTCAGCAATAGTGTCTTAACATCAAGAGGGTACCAAGAGCAATGGCGATAGCTACATGTTGTTTGGGGTGGTCTCTGAGATTTTCCCTTCTAGGCCAACAACTGGAAGGGAGATATCCCATACCTGACACTAATAATAAATACCCCTTGAAGGCCTATGTCTTTTTAATTTTTTAAATGTTATTATTTTAATTTTAAATACCTTGTTTCACATATCAATCCCAGTTCCCTCTCCCTCCCCTCCTCCCGCAATCCCCCACCATCCCCCCCCCAGCCTCCCACCCTATCGCCACTTCCTTCCACATAGGGGATATCTAGAGTCTGTCATTTCACTCAGGGCAGGGTCCAGGCACTCACCTAAGAGTCCATGCTGAGAGAGTATCCCTCTTTGTGCTATGGACACACGATGTCTGTTTGTATGCCAGGGATAAACACTGATCCACTGCTCAAGGCCCCATAGGTTGCCCAGGCCTCCTCACTCACTCTCACATTCAGGGGGTCTGAATCAGTCCCATGTTGGCCTCCCAGCTGTCGGTCTGGGGTCCAAGAGCTCTCCCCTGTTCAAATCAGCTGTCTCTGCTGGTTTTGCCAGCCCATTCTTTGCCAGTTTGCTCATCACTCCTCTCTCTCTGTCGCTGGGTTCCTTGGGTTCAGTTCAGTATTTAACTGTGGGTGTTTGCCTCTGCTTCCATCAGTCACTGGATGAAGGCTCCCGGATGGTTATAGACATCAAGTTCACTATCAGGAATGGGCATTCCAGGTGGTCTCTCCACTAATGCTTAGCTTGCCAATTGGTGTCATCCCTTTAGATCACTAGAGGTCTCACTGGTGCCAGATCAGTCTTCTAACCTATGATTCCTCTTCCCACTATTCTACCCCCCACTCAACCTTCCTGTTCCTCCACGACCTACTCTCTCTTCCTCTTCTCCACCTCTCTTCTTCCCAGCTTCCACTCCTCCCCACCCCTGGCCGTGTTCCCCATCTGTTCAGAAGATCTTGCCTCATTCCTCTTCTTTCTGGTACCATGCATATCTCTCTTAGGTTCTTTCCTGTTTCCCAGACTCTCTGTCAGTGGAAGTGCAGACTGACACTATCCTGATCCATGTCTAAAATCCATATATGAGTGAGTACATGCCATGTTTGTCTTTTTGTAACTGGGTTACCTCACTCAGGATGGTTCTTCTAGTGCCATCCATTTCCCTGCGAATTTCAAGATTCCATTGTTTTTTTCTGCTGAGTAATACTCCATTGTATAAATATACCACATTTTATCTATCCACTGTTCAGTTGAGGGGCATCTAGGTTGCTTCCAGGTTCTGGCTATTACAAATAATGCTTCTATGAACATGAAGGTCTATGTCTTAAGAGCTTAGTCTTCAGCATTGTGGACTGTGTCATGGAGTGTAGCTTCTAAACTTATGAGCTAGTTTATCTCATCATTTGTTATGGGAACAGATTGCTGACCAAACAGATATTCCCTTTAAAAAAGGATTCACTTGAGCACCGAAGGGACAAGTTAAAAAATAGATGTGTGTGTATAGCAAATACATATATATGCACACTTCTATATATGTGTTTGCGTGCATGTGTGTTTGTGTGCGTGTGTGTGTGCATGTGTTCATGTGCATGCATGTGTGCTTAAAGTTTGCACTTACTTCTCTATAATGGTATTATAGTTAAAGTTCTCTTATATAATGGTAGGATATTGCAGATAGGTTACTGTTAAGAAAACATTGTATATTGCTCTTATCACATGTGGTATAGGAGGACCCTCCCATGCTGTAAATTTATCAACAGAAAAAGTTAGCCATCAAGAAAAGTTAGTCAAGCCGGGCGGTGGTGGCACACGCCTTTAATCCCAGCACTCGGGTGGCAGAGGCAGGCGGATCTCTGTGAGTTCGAGGCTGGGCTGGACCGATAGCCTCCGAAACAATACAGAGAAACCCTGGCTCGTAAAAACCAAAAAAAAAAAAAAGAAAAGAAAAGAAAAGTTAGTCAAACTTCAAACTCTGACTGGAGGCAAGAGTATGGCTTGCAGAAAGAAGAAGGTACATAGGACTGCTGGGGAATATTGTTTTAAGGTGTATGACTTTTATTTATGCTGCATTTGTTTAACTCTGTGAAGCTGTATTAATGTGCCTGTCTAAAATACCTGGTGGTCCTAATAAATAGCTGAATGGCCAATAGCAAGGCAGGAGCAAGGATAGGTGGGCTGGCAGGCAGAGAGTATAAACAGAAGGAGACACGAGGAAGAGAAGAGCAGCAAGAGAACATGGAGAGGAGGACATCAGTGGCGAGCCGTGCAGCCACCCTCCCAGCCAGCCATGGAGTAAGAAGGAAAGTAAGATATATGAAAGTAAGAAAGATAAAAGCCCAGAGGGAAAAGATAGATGGGTTAATTTAAAGAAAAGAAAAGGCAATCTAAGGCCTGGCATTGATAAATAATAAGACTCCATGTGTGATTTATCTGGGAGCTGGGTGGCAGGTCCCCTAAAAAGGACAAAAAAGCCAAAAGAGTAAGGAATAAAAAAACATAGCAATATAGGACAGCTACTGCTGATGACAAAAAGCTTCAGAGTTCTCTAAAGAAACTGGCTGTGAACAAGATAGCTGGTATTTAAGAGGTGACCGTGATTAAAGATGATGGAAGAGCTCTTTATTTCAACAAGCCCAAACTCCAAGCTTCCCTCTTTGCTAACATCTTTGCAGTTGCTGGTCATGCAGAAGCCAAACCAGTCACAGAAATGCTTCGTGGAATATTAAGTCAGCTTGGTGCTGACAGCTTACCAAGCCTTAGGAAGTTAGCTGAACAGTTCCCACGACAGGTATTGGATAGCGAAGCACCGAAAGCAGAAGACTTTGGTGAAGAGGATGCTTGTCCCAGACCTTGTAGAAAATTTGATGAAGCATTGAAAAATGAAGCTAGCTAAAATTCTCTGGGTTCCGGAAGCTGGCATGGACTAGATTGAACAAACAGCTCTGTTGTTTCCAAAGTTTTGTGGTCTGGACGGGAAACTTCCGCCTACACTGGCATAGACTAGATTGAACAGTCAGCTCTGTTGTTTGAAAGTTTTACAGACACAGAGAACATCACCTGTAGGCGGACTCAATTTAAATGCTTGTCAGATAGCTCAGACTTTTTACTAAGTAGCTCTTACAGCATAAATTAACCCACTTATATTAATCTACATCTGTCACATGGCATTACCTCTCTTTCATCTTGCATTTCTTGATTCCTCTCTGTCTCACTGGCATGTCTTCTGACTGCCCTTCTTCTTCCCAGTGTCGTTAGTCTGGTTTTCCCGCCTAAACTTATCCTGTCCAGCTATTGGCCAGTCAGCTTCTTTATTAAGCCAATCACAGCATAATTTACACAATGTATAGAGTATTATTTCACAGCAATAACCTGCTTTGTATATTAATAATGCTGTTTGTTCAACATTTCTTGGCCATTTAATTTTGCATTTTCCACGTCTTCCAAGGATCTATTCTTTTGGTCAAAATATGAAGTATTGGTGCAATTTGGGTTTTTTTTTCCTTTGGGGGGAACTTTTGGTATGTATGTATATGTATGTGTGTACACAGTGGACAGCAAATTGGATAAGGGTTTTAGTAAGATTGACCACGATTGTGAAGGAATGTATCCATTATTCCCCCAAAATGAATGGTGAATTGTAGAGATATGTGAGGCAGGTGAAATCAGCATACATTTTCTACTAATAGAAAACCTTACACAAACTGAAAATAACCCTGTAGAAAACAAAAACAGTGAAATTTTTATAATTACATATTATTTCAAAATACAACCATGGCCTTGTTTCAGATACTTATCTAGTAGTCAAATTGATACAGCTAGGCCTTGGGGTTTTTCTTTCCTATCTTCTGCCTTTTGAGCGTTAGCCTCAGACTGTAGCCAAGTCTCATTGCCTCTTTAGTGTTCATATTTGCCTGACTCTCATTCATGAATACCTTTGAAACTACAACTGGCACACTCCACTCGATCCTGAAGCTACCAAGAGCTTCTCCTTGAATATTATAAATGTGGTTGTCTCAGGGACGTTATTCCTTGTAGTCAGGGTTATAAGCTGCCAGTCTGCAGTGAAGGCTCCTTTCTGATAATCGGCTTACACTGCTTACTAGGAGTAAAGCCACACCAATGTGTTTTGTGTGCTGCCATTATCCTTACATTTTTATGTACATAGTAATGCATTCCATGTGTAAGGTACCGGTGAAATAATCACTTCCTTTCCATTGCAGTTGCTTTGTAAATATTTAAATCACATTATGGGATTGCTGGACAGACTTTCGGGTTTACTTGGCCTGAAGAAGAAAGAGGTTCATGTGTTATGCCTTGGACTGGATAATAGTGGCAAAACAACAATCATTAACAAACTTAAACCTTCAAATGTAAGTATCTCTGTGATGCTTCACGTCTTCTGATACCAGCAAAAGTTATGTGCAATACTATTCTGAAGTTACAACTTCCTGTGAGGTTGTGAAGTCCTATTAGTCTCACTGTTGGTTAAGAGGTTGCTTGCTGTGTGTGCCTCATATTTATGCAGTGTGCATGTAACTCTTGAGTATTAAGCTGAGATACTCTTTTTCCTCCTTTATACTCCTCTAAAGAGCTTCACAAATTGACTCAGTTTATTTATAGGCTGCCCTGACTTTGTTTAAATTTCTTCTTCATGAGAAGAACAAAACAAAAGGAAAGACACCTCATTTTTTTAAAATCTATGGATAAATAGACAGTGCTGTGCTATTGGTGACAGTGATTTTGAGCAACGTATTATGAAAATATTATTTTCTTACTGAGAATATATAAAGCTAGTACATGCAATGTATGACTCATACATCAGAAGTAGGCTTTGTTGCATATAATTCCTGATATGATTTACTGAACATTAAGCTGTAACTGTTCTGGTTCAGAAAAATTGACCGGAAGACCCTGAGCTTCCTCCGCCCACCCTCTAACTCTAGTAATAATAACCAAAAGGCATTACTGAACTGGAAGGTTCAGAGACACCATACTTTTAATACTCAAATGTAAGTTTACATTTCTTCCACCTTATTTTAAATTCATCACTTGTTAATTTTCATCTCCATTTGGGTGCTATTTTTAGTTAATTAACTGTATTAATCATAGGATCTACAGTGTTCTGTTAGGAAAAGCCTTACAAGACTGTTCCATGTTGTCTCCTTATGTATATAAATAAAATTGATTTTTTGATAACTAGATTTTAGACTCTTATTTTTCAGAATAAATTATCCTATTGTTGTATTTGAAATGATAAACATCCTCAGTTGACAGGGTATTTTTCACCCAACCATTCTTTGTAAGAAAGAATGTAGTTTTGGCCCAGGTATATGCCCAACACTCAGGAGGCAGAAGCAGGCCAATATCTATGAGTTCCAGGCCAATCTGGTCTTCATAGAGTGCTCCAGGTCAGCTAGGACTACATAGTGACCCTTCTGTGGGGAGGGGAAAAAGCATCTGGAAAAATTCCTAAGCAATTTGTATATTCATTTGATATATGTTACATATTCAGTTGATACCTTACTTATTATATTTCTCTTCAATATCAAAGAGTCTTTGACTTTTCAAGCATTGAATAATACCTAGAATGAGGATTAGTGCTTAAATATATTTTAGATTGTAGGTGAATAGATTGATGGTTATTATTATTATTATTATTATTATTATCATCATCTTTGACCAGGGGATTTTGTTGATTATGTGGAGATAAAAATTTTAGCAGAGTTGATAGAACAAGAAATTCTCTTGGGAATTCTGTTCTGATCCTGTTGATACTGGTCTAGTGGACTCTAATAGTTCAGGCTACACACCTTCCTTTCTTGCTGCCATTCCAGTCCAATGACTGGATGTGTGTGTTCCTGGGGAAAACAGAGGGAAATTAATATTAGAGATGACTCTTTGTTGGGGAGATGGGAGTGAGAGTGTGTCTGTTGTGTGTGTAAGGAAAGGTGTGCATATATATAAAGGTGTCTATATATGCACATGAAAGCCAGAGACTAACTTTGGGTCTCTGCCTTAACTGTTTCAGCCGTGATGCCTCACTGAATCGGAAGCTCACGGACGCTGCTTGAGTGGTTGGCCTATGGGTTGCAGGGCCCCCCCTGTGTCCATTTCCTGAGTGTGCTGTGCCCAGCCTGCACTCTGAATTACTGCAGAGGAAAATGAGTTCCACATGAATGCACCCTAGCCTGGTTAACTTCTGAACCTTCTTTTGTGGATTATTTCCATTAGAACTTTTGGAGGAGAAATAGTTGAGGGATTTTTATCCCTCTGGGCTAAATTTTAAAGGGGAGTTTGTGGAGAATCTAAGTAGTTCTAATTACAATTCAGTGAAGATACTTTGGTGTGTTTTTCTGTGGTTTCACTAACTTCTTAACATCATCTGATTGATAAATAAAAAACTTTTTAAATGGATGGATCATGAGAAAAACAAAATTAAGACACACTTTATCCCAAAGCTTGTTGTTCAGGGAACCTCAGAGTAATGAGGCAAGACTGCACGTGTCACAAAATAATGTATTTAACTAGCAAACAAAAGCAATACTTTGGGGAAAATATTAATGCAGCTCGAAGACTAGGTAGAAGGAAAAGCTGCGTAAACAGACTCGGGAGACATCTGCTTGTAGCACATTGCTGTTAAGGTTCCCAAACACCATTTCCAGCTTCTCTTCCATTTGGATTTAATTTTGCAAAAGTACAGTACCCAAGTAAGCATGCTAATGTGAGGCAAATTTCCCTTCTTCCACTCTTATTTTCACATAAAAGTAGCAATATTTTTTATTTTGTTATTCTTAAGGCAATATGGGAAAACATAAGACTAACCAAAATGGGAGTATAATTATAATAATAGCAAACATTTGTGAACTGCTTATAGACACCATGTTGAGTATTTTGTGCCTATTAGCTCATTTAATTCTCATAATAACTTTATGAGCACTATAATATAGTTGACATTTAAGTAAACCTAGGCTTAAATACTTGTGCCAGGTGGCATATAGAAAGCTAGGAGTAATTAGAAAGCTATTGTAATTCAGAGCACCAAATGGAAAGGTCTAGTCTGAGGTAATGGCACAGAGCCAGGGAAACTTCGAAAATGAATGTTTTATACATAGCATGTAACAAAGGAGGAGTCAAGAATAACTTCCAAGTATCTGGATCATAAAATGGATACATTTTGTCTAAATGAATGAACAGTTTTCATGATGGAAATTCTAGGAGGCATTTACTGCATTCTCTTGTCTGTATATTTTTAAATGTCTGGGAAACTTGTCAAAGTGTGTCTGCTGTTCTCTTAACCCTGCTCAGTCTTCCTGTAGAATGCCCCACCAGAGCCACCATGACTCTACCTATCTTCCTTCAGCCTGTATCACTCCTTTATTTAGCAGGACACTTCAGACATGCATGCCTAATATTCTTCCTGAGTGGCAAGTTCTTGCCCTCCCTAGGATTATTTTACTGACTAATTCCATTTACTGCAATAGTCTTTGCCAAGAGCTTGCCCTGGGATTTCCCTCTCCCTATCCTTCATCCTGAGCACTTTTTATTCATGTTATTATTTTGATGGTTGCTTACATTCTGTGTGCCATGAGCTCCTTGAGAGAAGGGACCAAATAGACTTGAAGACAGACAGTCCCAAACATACATAAATTCATAATGTGTAGAGTAATTAAGTTCAACACAGACACTCAGAGTGACTTTTTAAACCACTTATGAAAACTTGCTTACCTTGTTTAATAAAACAAAATGTGAATTCAAACCTATACCTTAAACCAATTCACAATTGGCAAGTAAACCTTACATTTTATAAGTAATTTTACACACAGTGACCCTATTACAAAAATCATAATGTTTAATTTTTTTATCTCCTTGGTAGCATAATTTAGAAAGGGAAAAATCTGGGACTGGAAGAAAAAAATCCATCTTTGTAATTACAAATGTCTAAATTTAAGTTTTCTCTTGCAGGCTCAGTGTCAGGATATAGTTCCAACCATAGGATTCAGCATAGAGAAATTCAAGTCCTCCAGGTAACCACCTTCTCTTTGTGACTCTGACACTGTGAGTGTCTCCATACTGACCTGGAAATCAGTTATCATTTCCAATCCTCATGGGGTTGTGACTTTTTGTACCACTAACTTTAGTTCATTCTCAGCCCTTAAAGTTTAGACCAATGTGAAAATCTCATTAGCAAAGGAATCATTTTTAGGTTATTTCATTGCAAAGTCATATTTAGACTAATAAATTTATATTTCATTTTTTTTCTTGAATATTGACCACATTCATTATTTTATAGCCATGTTGATTTATGTGATATAAAACAACTTATGATATTAAGAAATAACCATTTAACTTGGTTGTTTAAAATGTAGTAATGATCTTGTATCTGTTTATAGTTTGTCTTTTACAGTGTTTGACATGTCAGGGCAAGGAAGATACAGGAATCTCTGGGAACACTATTATAAGTAAGTTTTCATGAATATTGCTCAGCTACATAGCTACATTTTACTGTCAAATACTAACTAAAAAATCCAAGCGGTTATATGGTTTCTGCTATAATAATGCAACTTCATATAATTCATGACACTGTGCCTTTGTTCTTTTCTCTGTCTATTTCTGTCTGTGGTTAGTATAGCTACATCTTAAGAACCAGCTATCAGGCTATGTGTGGTGGCACAGCCCTGCAATCCTAGTACTTGTAACTCTAGGGAAGAAGGATCACAATTTAAGGCCAGTCTGGGTTCCAAGCCAGGCTGAATTACCAGTGCTTATACAATACCTTGTCCACTCCCATCTGTGTAATCAGGTACCACAATTGAAATTATTCCTATTCAAATTACTTCTTCAACAGCCAGCTCAGAGATCAGAATTGTTACTGCCCATATTTTGTTAAAATAACAAGATTGTTTAACAGCTGGTAGCTTGTTTTACAAATATTTCTAAACAAAGTACTTTTCGGAGTATGCAGACATAATGTTCAATAAATACTTCAGATATAAGATTGCCAACTTACCAGGATCCAAATGTTTTCTACCCACTTAAAATTGCACGTGGTGGTAAAATAATGTCATTGTTCTGTTTTTTTATATTATACAGAGATGGACAAGCCATTATTTTTGTCATTGATAGTAGTGATAAATTAAGAATGGTTGTGGCCAAAGAAGAACTTGATACCCTTCTAAATCACCCAGGTATCTATGTAATTTCTTCCATGATGTCTGTACTCTTGCTTCTATCTATATGTGTTGGTTGTTTTTTAGTTTAAGAAAAAGTTGTTTATGAGATGGAATTATTTTCTATTTAAATTTGTAAAGATTATTGGATATACAAAATTCATAAAAACTTTTGAATTTTTTTTGTTTTAAACCTTCATATGGTGGATTTTGTCGTGTTTTGTTTGGGGAGCTACTGGCATTTATTTCTTTAACACTGAAAATTCTTTGATTTCCTAAATATATAAATAATATGTAGTGATAAGAGAAGAACATTCAGAGAGAAAAGATGAGGGATCAAGTGGTATTCTGAGCAATAGGACATCAGGTACAGCTGCTTTGGTTACCTTATTTTCACGGTACATGGAGACAGGAGCAGCTAACAAGAGGGTCATGCTTCTGCCTGTTTTGATCTCAGTGTTAGGAAAACAACTAGAAGGAAGAGGTATTAGGTTTTGGTTTTATTTATTTATTTACTTGAGTGTATCCCACAAAGGTCAGAAGAGTGCATCAGATCCCTTGGAGTTGGAGATAACACTTGTGAATCCCTGATCATTTTATTTCTAAGTGTTGCTTAGGAAACGAGGGTAAGATAGGGAATTAAGTGAAAAGATCAATATATACAATAATGAAACTGGTAAGGACATTATTATGAAGAGTTAGATATAATAATTGTTGCTGGAAATACACAGTGTTTCTACAAGATGTGGAGATGCTCTGTTGGACAGCACAGGACAAAAGGGGGAAGGAGGGTCTCCTCAATTCTAAGCTCTTTAATACATTTGGACTTGGCTTCACTCAGCAGCTAAGGGCATTTGCTCCCATCCTGAGTTTGATCCCGCAGACCCATGTGTTAGATAGAGGGAGAGTTGAGTCCTTCCCATGGCTTTTCCTATGACATCCACATGTATGCCATGGCATACCTGTAGCATGTGCGCCAGCACACACGTGCACCCACACATACACCTGTGCACACACAGTTAAATAAAAATGTTTTAAAAAATACACAAAACCTCTGGAAAATGCTTTCAAGTTGTAAATGGGGAAAATACCTTGTTTAAAATGTCCGTCCCACGTGTTCGTGATGCTGCCTGTGACTTAAAAATAAAGCAGAATCCATTTCTTCCTCTTCCTATTTGAGGTTTGTCTCCCTTGTGTTGACAACTGAAAACGAGAAATATTTGTCTTTTTGCATAGATGCTTCTCTAACTGCTAGGTTCCCTTTCTCTGTCTTTATTCTTTGGTTTAAAGTCCCAAGACAGAGGGCACATGGTCTTACCAAGTAGTTTTGATTTCTGTTAGATGAATGTTTAACTGTGCATCTTTAAGTGTTTGTGTATGGATAGTAGTGAAAGAAGCAGTTTGAGGAGTTTGGGACAAAGTGATCCAAAACATGAGAAGTGTTGTGATGGTGTCTTTCTTTTTCAGATATTAAGCACCGCCGGATTCCAATCTTGTTCTTTGCGAACAAAATGGATCTTAGAGATGCAGTGACATCTGTGAAAGTGTCTCAGCTGCTCTGCTTGGAGAACATCAAAGACAAGCCGTGGCATATTTGGTAAAACATTATTTCTCCCTTTGTCTTTCTGAAAAGTCTGTGAAATGTAGGATTCTGTTTAGATCTTTTGCTTTTGTTTGTTTTTACATCATTTTGTAAATGGCAAACATGGTAGAATGCAAGCAAAGTATTTATTTCACAGAATTGTGACATTTCAGGTACCCATGAATATATTGCTGTTAACTTTTCAAATCCTTTGGCACCAGAAAAGTGTATTTTTAATGTCCTATCTTCATCCACAGTGACTTCCTTTTCTACCTGAAATCACCCAAGCCCAACCCTTTGCACTCTGATATCACCCCCTCAGAATCATTCTCCAATTTAATGGTCCTGGATTGCTATTTTGTGTGTGTGTGTGTATTTTCTTTTTTGTTGTTGTTGTTATTGTTATGGTTTTTATGTCAATCCTAGCTCCCTCTCCCTCCCCTCCTCCCCTCAACCCCCTCCAACCCCACACCCAATCCCCACTCCACAGTCCAGGGAGGGTGAGGCCCTTCATGGGGGATCTCCAAAGTCTGTCATATCATCCTGGGCTGGGCCTTGGCCCTCCCCCCTTGTGTCCAGGCTGAGATAGCATCCATCTACGTGGAATGGGCTCCCAAAGTTCATCTATTGCCCGAGACCCCAAAGAATGCTGAGACCTCCTCACTGATACGCACATTCAGGGGGTCTGGATCAGTCACATGCTGGCCTCTCAGCTATCAATCTGGGGTCCATGAGCTCCCCCTTATTCAGGTCAGCTGGGTTTCACCAGCCTGGTCTTGACCCCCTTGCTCATCACTCCTCCCTCTGTGCAACTGGTTTCCAGGAAGTTCAGTTCAATGTATAGCTGTGGGTGTCTGCCTCTGCTTCCATCAACTACTGGATTAAGGCTCTATGATGGCATACAAGGAAGTCATCAATCTTATTATCAGGGAAGGGCATTTAAAGCAGCCTCTCCACTATTGCTTAGATTGCCAGTTGGTGTCATCCTTGTAGATCTCTGGAAGTCTCACTAGTGCCAGATCTCTCCTCAAACCTATAGTAACTCCCTCTTATATGGTATCTCTCATCCTGTTCTCCTCTCTTCTTCCCCCCACTCCTGCTCCCCCATGTCCTCCTCTCCCCTCCCCTTCTCTTTTCTCCCCATACTTTTCTCCAGCTCCCTCTCCCCTCCCCCCATGCTCCCAGTCCACTCTGGAGATCAGTCCCATTCCTCTTCTCTGGAGTACCATGCGTATCTCTCTTAGGGTCCTCCCTGTTTCCCAGACTCTGGCGGTGGGATTGTAGGCTGGCAATCCCCTGCTTCATGTCTAAAATCCACATATGAGTGAGTACATACCATGTTTGTCTTTTTGTGACTGGGTTACCTCACCCAGGATAGTTTCCTATAGTGTCATCCATTTGCCTGCAAATTTCAAGATTCCGTTGTTTTCTATTGTATGTCACTGTTACCATGTAACCTCTTTTGCTTTTTATTTTGGTGGTAGTTTGTCTTCCTAACACTCGTGATAGCTCTCTAGGAGTTGGAATTATTGCCAGATTTGGTTGATACATTGTGTTTCTTTCCCCACTTCTGTGACTGGTACATGGTGCATATACTATAAATATTTGCTCATATGAGGAAGTAGAGGTAATAGTTGTATATGGACATGCTAGTAAACAGTGTCTGAAATTGCTATGCATCATTTATTTAGGAAACAGTTTCTTTTCCTTGGTGCTACCTTCCTGAGATCCTCTTTTGCTTCCTACCCACCTACCCTCCCATGCCCCAGAATTTCCTTCTATAGTTTCCCTACTCTCCATAGTATAACTATATTCGATGCTATATATGGAAAACAATATATTTACTTACCAGAGAGAGAGAGAGAGAGTCGCACAGACCAGGAGTTAGAAGCGTGGCTGGCTTCCAGGAGAAAAGGGAGGTTCCTTCTTCTTTCACTTCCTTTTATATCTACCTGTGTCAGTTTACATGTCTCCGCCCTCATGGGTGGATAGCTTTGTGGGGTTCACTCCTACAATTCCCCTTTTAGTCTAAATAGAAGATTTAAATTTGATACAAACTCAAACATATACAACATACATACATAGAGGGTGATAATTAAGTTATAATCTACTTATCCTAAGCTAAACATATCCAATCTTATATACAACTAATGTTGAGTATGACAATCCAGAGGCAGGAACCTGGATAGGAGAAGCCATTTCTAAAGGATTTAGGAGCAATCAGGATGAAAAATGGCCTACCCAAGAGGAGATACCAAATTGGGTTGGGGAAGCAATCTTTAGAAGTTTCAAAAGACATTGAAACTTTAGATTTTTTTGTTTGTTTGTTTGTTTTTGTTTTTTTTGTTTTTACGAGACAGGGTTTCTCTGTATTGTTTTGGAGGCTTATCGGTCCAGCCCGGCCTCGAACTCACAGAGATCCGCCTGCCTCTGCCTCCCGAGTGCTGGGATTAAAGGCGTGTGCCACCACCGCCCGGCACTTTAGATGTTTTAATTGTGGTAAAATAGGACATCTGAGTAGGAACTGTAGACAACGCATTCCTAGAAATAATGCTTCTACCAGGAATGCGTCAAATAGAAGGCCTCAGCCTCCTGGTCTTTACAGGAGGTGTGGAAAGGGAAAACATTGGACTGATGAATGCTGGTCCACAAGAGATAAACAAGGTAGATCTTTACAGCCGGGAAACAGGAATCAGGGCCTCAAGCAGGCCCCAGAAAGAAAATTATCTGGTCATTCCCAGTGACAGTGGAGGACAGCCTCTCCCAGGACAATTAGAAGATCCACTGCCCATTGTAAATAATACGGCACTGAATAATACATTAGCTCCAGAGGATGAATCAATTATATCAGGAGGAAATACAAAACATATATTTTGGCAAACTTCTATACAATATCATAGACCCAAGTTACCAGTTAAAGTAAATAATATGGTGATTACTGGCATTTTAGACACAGGAAGTGGCATCACCATCATTAATCAGAAGTCCTAACCCCCAAATTGGGCTTTAAAAAAGGTTAACGTTCAATTCTTAGGGATTGGAACAATTTTTCAAATATTATAATATAAAACATGTAACTGGTATACCTTATAATCCCACTTCTGACACCAGATATAACGATATTCGATGCTATATATGGAAAACAATATATTTATTTACCAGAGAGAGAGAGAGTTGCACAGACCAGGAGTTAGAAGCGTGGCTGGCTTCCAGGAGAAAAGGGAAGTTCCTTCTTCTTTCACTTCCTTTTATATCTACCTGTGTCAGTTCACATGTCTCCACCCTCATGGGTGGATAGCTTTGTGGGGTTCACTCCTACACCATAGGAGTTGCAGTGATAATTAAGGGACGCTGGACACAAAGCAGAGAAGTCTACTGACTCTAGAAGTGACCTAGATTGTAAGCAAGAAACTGGAGCCTAGGAATCCCAACATGGAGTGCGGGCTGGGAATTCTGCTCCTAGCAGTAAGCAATTATTCAAAGCACATTCTTGATTACATATCATAACAGCGAGGCATCAGGCACTAAAACACTTTCACCAAAAATCTAAGCTACTGATTTTGCCACATACGACTACTGGTGGAAGTGTCAACGAGTGAGTAAAAATCTACGTATTTCTCTGAACAAGCTCTGCCTCTCTCTCTCCTTTGAGCTCTTCACTATGTGTTGTCCCGTCATGCTTTGCATTTCATGGCCTGAGTCATTTCTCAGTGGCCACATCTCCCCCAGTTCCCCTTCAATTGCTCTGTTGCAGTCAGACTACTTGCTGTCCCTGGGACAGAGCAGGTACACCCTCAGCCATGAAGAGCCTCTTCCTGGCTTCTGACTGGGTAGCTGTTTCTCCCAGAATTGGGAGGCAGAAGCAGGCAAATCTGAGTTTGAGGCTAGCCTAGACTACAGAGTGAGTTCCAGGATAGACTGTGCTACACAGAGAAACCCTGTCTCAGGAAATAAGAAAAAGTATATGGACTATACATGATGGCTCATAACTGTAATTCCTGTCTTTGTGGGGTAGAGGCTAAAGTTTAATCACTACATAGCAAGTTTGAGGCTAGCTTGAACTCTGAGACCCTGCCTCAAAAATAGAACAACACAGAGCCCACTTTATAATTGTGCGTTTTTACTCTATAGATAACAAATTCCATTTCAAATGAAGTCAGTTGATTCTGTGACCTAAGTCAAACATTTCTATCAAGTAAATGCTATTGAAGCTCTGGGTAGACTGAAGTAAGACAGTGAACTCTAGAAAAAAATTTTTTGGTTTTTTTATGAGACAGGGTTTCTCTGTATTGTTTTGGAGGCTGTCGGTCCAACCTGGCCTCCAACTCACAGGGATTTGCCTGCCTCTGCCTCCCGAGTGCTGGGATTAAAGGCATGCGCCACCACCGCCTGGCAAACTCTAGAAAGTTTTAGTTAGAAAAATAACCTGATGTTTATGTGTTCGGGTGCTTTTTTTCCCCCAAGTGCTCAGACTCTTAAGTTCCTATTTGTATTCTATTTCAATACTTAATCAGTTTTGCAGAGATGTATGAGTATATATTTCTTTGCAATATGGCAAAGTGTTGGATTTTCCTCCTAGAGTTGTATGACGCCATAAAACAGGTGCTTTGTGTGACTTTTCTTTCAGTGCTAGCGATGCCATCAGAGGAGAAGGCCTGCAGGAAGGTGTGGACTGGCTTCAAGGTACCTCGCACGCCATGTGCGTCTGTTGACTGTTTCCTTTTCAGTTGTCCCGTCTCACTTTTACATGTTAATTCCATTACATCAGTGCCCCCTTCTTGTTCTTATTTCCGCTGTCAGAAAAAATAGTACAGGAAGTATTCAATACCTTGCTGCATTTACTTTATTGTATTTTTCTGTCAGATTTAATTAAAGTGTTTCTGTGTTTATATTCAGGATATATAGTAGATCTAGAAAATGGTTTTAATTTATGGACCCAGATTTTCATTAAATCTAGTAGCTGAAAAACACACTTGAAGTTTGGAACAAATGCTAGTTTGGCCTTACGGTTAATGACAACTATTTTTTATCAGTCATGCTGTTTAGCACTCCACATATAATAACCCCATTTACACATATCATAGATGCACAAGTTTTAACACATATTTAGTATTATAAATACTATTATGCTATTGATATCTTGCTTATTTTCAGTTCATTTTTTTAATCAAAATAGCTATACTAGATCACTTCTATGTTAGGTAATAAATTAAGATATAGGTTTCCTTAGGGTGTTATTATCTACTGTGTATAAGAACAGCTTGAAGCATGCAGAGCAATAGATAGGTGTGTGTTCCGTATGTCCATTCAGTAGTAGCGTCTTTATGGCCAAGTCAAGACATTTTCAATTTAAGCAGAGTTTCTGACTGTTCGTTCTCACTGGGAAATCCTCCTACTCTGAATGGGATAAAGAAGATAGGAGTCCTAATTACAATGTGTGGTTATGCTGGGCGGTGGTGGTGCACGCCTTTAATCCCAGCACTCAGGAGGCAGAGGCAGGCGGATCTCTGTGAGTTCGAGGCTGGGCTAGACCGATAGCCTCCAAAACAATACAGAGAAACCCTGTCTCATAAAAACCAAAAAAAAAAAAAACCAAAACAAAGAAAAACAAAAACAATGTGTGGTTATAAGTACTATTTCCTTCTGCATTGGCCTTTTAATATTAGATATGTGTGGTACTGCTTTCCATTTTTCTTCCTCCATCTTTTGGGACCTGTTATGTTAGATGGAAGAATAATCTGCCTACAAATGCTAAAAGTACAGTTGATAGAGATATGTAAAATCTGCTCTTCTAGTGAATTCCACACACAGACTTTAACGTCTTTCCTTTTGGGGGGGCTGGGGGTTGAAACAAGGTTTCTCTGTATACTGCTGTCCTGGAACTCATTCTATAGGCCAGGCTGGCCTCAAAACTCAGAGATCTGTCTGTCCCTGCCTCCTGGGTGCTTGAATTAAAGGCATGTGCCACCACTGCCTGGCACAGAATTTTATTTCTAGCTTGTATTTCTTCAGTCAAAACATTTACTGTTAAATAGCAAAGAACATTCTAGTCATATTTTACAAGTAAATGAAACAAACATCTCTAATGGTTCTCAAAATTAGTAAAGGAATTCTTGTTTTGAACCCACCAACTTCATGTTTCAAATTATTTTAAGAAGTGTTCAGGGTTATGGGATGGATTTCCAGAAGAAACTAATCAGTCACAGGGTAAAACACCAGGGCAGATAGAGAAGGGCATTTCTTTCCTGCCTTCTTCCTTTACCAGTGTGACATTACTTTCAGGGGAGACGTGGCATGCAGAGAAAGCCCTGCCAATACTTAGTGCAGTGCTTCTGAGCACCATACTGAACAGAAGATGATTTGCCTTCTAGGTTTTGGTTTCTGTCACTCCTGTCTTCCCCAACTCCATTTGTAGTTTCTTTTTTTTTTTTTTAATCCATAGCAATAGCCACTAGGTGTCAGTAAGGATCCAATTTTACAGTACCGATTTTCAACTCTTCTTGGTACCAATTGTTTTTCTATTCTGATCTGTTATCGTCTCTGCCTAGTCTTTGTGAGAACAGAATATTGTTAGAAATGCTTTTGTGTCCTTTTGTTGCAACAATATCTGCAAGGTAAGTAGGAGCACCCTTGTCTGCTCTGTGCAACAGGAGGAGGAGCGCAACAGCTGGCCTTTGAGGCAACTCATTATTCTGTTAACCTCCCTTCACACTAAGAGCATCTTTTATTATCTTATGAAGTAACTGTCACATCTGGAGTATTAAAGCCAAATTTCATAAAATAGTGTGCATACATGTTAAAGAACAATGGATAGGAATACACTCAGTACATGTCAAATTTACTCTCTTATCTACGCACCTTATGTAAGAGGCAGGAACTAAATAGTTTTTTAAAAAACCAAAGAGTATGTCAGTTTGTGTTTGACTAGATAATCATGCATTTGTATTTTCCTATAGAATAGTAAATAGTGTAGATTTCCTTGTTCTCAGTTATCCTTTTGGATATGAAAAGAGATAAGCAGCTATCTTCAAAACAAGTAATAGTAAATAAAAGAGACTAACCTGCTTTGTAATGCCACTCATTAGCTACATACACATAGAAAAATCCAGCTGTAAAAGACCTTTGAACTGAACTATATTCATTTTTACTTTTAGAATTCTGAGGTTTTATAGTATGTTAAACAAGGTTCATTTAGTACTCATTTAATCTTATTTCTTTAAGCTTAATATTGGACTTTTCCATGAAATATTAAATGTTTTATATGGTTATATTCTCTTTTGAAAGATTCAGTAGTTTTGCATGTGTAATAATAAGTACAAAGTTTCTATTTCTGAAACATCCAAGTGAGATTTTTGTGGGAGGAAGTAGGTTTGTTTCTTGTTTTTTGTTTTTTCCTGGGGCTATTATGTAGCACTGACTGACCTGGGACTCAGTATCTGATTTTCCCAGCAGTGAGACTATAGGCATGTTCTTCCTGCCCAGGGTTCTAGTGACATTCTTTTTAAGTTTTTCCAAAATAATGAAACTTGTTTTACCATATTACATCCAAAGGAAAAATCAGAAATGCCTCCAGATTTCAAGCTGTAATCTTGTTTAGTTTTAAATACCAAGAATGATGCCAGGACATCCATCACAGGTGTTAAGGAAACACACGTACTGTACTTTCTGGTCTAGATTTTAATATCTAGATTGTACATGTTGTACATGTAAAAATACAGGATTGGACATATATTGTAATTGTTTGAAAAGGTGTCAACTCTGTGTGCATCAAGAATGGATGTGGCAAAAATGGGGATCTTGTTTGGAAAGCTGGAGATCTGATGGTTGTTGATTGGCTTAACAGGCCCCAAAAAGCTGAATCCTAAGTGGTCACTATGAAATGATAGTACGCAGCCTGATTCACTTTGAAGATGTTCTCAAGGGTTTAGAATATGCTTGTAATTGGAAATAAAGGATGGATTTGGATCTGGAAAAAGAAAACATGACTTCCCCCACACAACAACTACAGCAACAAAATGGGTTTCAAGGATTATCCTTTGCAAATGTTCAAACACTATCTGTCGACTGGAAGACACCAGACATGCACTATGTGGTAATGGTAACCTGACAGCAAGGAGGGGCTGCAAATTTTCATAGAAAATATTTGACTCTCTTCTATCTTCTGCTCCTCCAGTAGAAGGAGGCAGAAGGCAGGGAGAGTCATCTGAGGAATCAGCAGTGGTGGCATGCACCTTTAATCCCAGCACTTTAGAGGCAGAGGCAGGCGCATCTCTGAGTTTGAGGCCAGTCTGGCCTACATGGTCTACAGAGTTCCAGTACAACCTGGGCTACACAGAGAAACCCTGTCTCAAAAAAAAAAAAAACAGAAACCAAGAGGTGATATTGAGAAGATCCTGTATCCAAACAAGAGACAGTTTAGAAAGGACCAAGAAAATGGGGAGGACTAGTGGGTCATCAAAGAGTGTTTGCTAGAACTGAATCCAGTGAGCCCAGTGCAGGGGCCCAAGATACATCATTAGTAAAGTTCAACCAGGAAGACAGTGGAAACTTGTGCGGTCTTCCAGAAGTGGGAATAGGGAAAGATTGTTATATCAAACTTCCCAACACCCACTACTTGGGAGCTACATAATAATAATGTACTGGAATCACATACTCAAGCAATATCAACTGTGACAGTATATTAAAACATATTCAGCCGTATGAGCTCAAGAAGGAGAGAGTAAAGCAAGAAAAGAAAAGAAAAATACAAGGTCAGGGGGCTCATCTCCCCAGAGTACTGGTAAAGTCCCATTGTGCAGGCATGAAGCCTGAGAGTCTAATTCCCCACTAGGAACTGAAAGCCAGTAGCACTCTCTGTAATCCAGTGTGCCTTGGCAAGATGGAAGACAGAGATGGAGGATCCACAGAAGTTTGTGGGTCAGCTAGCCACACTAAGGTCCTGCAGGATTGACCTCTGACCTCCACACATGAACCAACACATACATGAATATGTACACATGCATCATACACTTTCAAAGTAAGGACAGAAAAGGAAGAAAGGAAGGATGGCTAGATGGATTAGGAACTAGGAAAACCAGCCCAGGAATGGAGGAACAGATTCCTGGGCTATAAATGAAAATCCTAGACTGATAATGAAACAGATCTCATGGATAACTGGCAAGCACAGAAAAGAGCCATCTAGGTTGGAGAGTCCTCGTGATATTTAGAAAAGTGTTCAAGAATGTGTAAATAACCGGGCAGTGGTGACATATGCCTTTAATCCCAGCACTTGAAAGGCAGAGGCAGACAGATCTCTGTGAGTTTGAGACCAGCCTGGTCTACAGATCGCGTTCCAGTACAGGCTGCAGAGCTACACAGAGAAACACTGCCTCGAAAATACAAACAAACAAAGTATAAATAGGGACTAGAGAGTTAAGGCAGTCCTTCCAGAGAACCTGAGCTAAATTCCCAGCACCTTCATGGGGCCTCACAACTATCCATGACTCCAGTTCCTTCCGGGCTCCCATCCATATAAGTAATTGTTTTAAAGAAAGTGAAAATGATGGGTTATGCAGTATGCTTCATATGTGAGAATATTTTGGTTGAGTCAATGTTAAATATGCTAAAAAACAAAAGAAAGAAAGAGAAGAAAGGCAGGGGAGAATAAACTAAATAAATGGGCTTGGTTGAGATTATTAATTTTAGGGGAAACAAAATTTGGAAGAAGAAAGTGTTCATCCCACCTGTCTGAAGGCTGACTGACATTGGATGGATATACAGATAATGACAGCATTAACCGAGTTGTAAGTGTGTTTAGTGAGTTTTCAGTAATTACCTAGGAGGAGATTAATTGTAAGTATCCGTGTCCAAAAAGGAGAGATGACCAAAGGAACTGCTAAGTCTTTCTAATAAGCTTGTAGAACTAGTTAATTCCTTATCTACTTACAGCTTATATAAAAATTAGCACAGTAGTATTAATTGTGCCTTAAGAAAACAGATATGCAGATAGAGTCTCCCTGTGTTATAAAGATTGGCCTTGAGTTGACTTAGAGAATAAGGTTGCTGCTGTTTCCCTTGTCAGGCTGATAATGGTTTTGTCTGTTTGTTATCAGATCAGATCCAAGCTGTGAAGACATGAAAAGATAGTCTCTGGAAACCTCAGCAATTTTCAATTAAAGGTGTCTATGTAAGGCATACTGAATAATCTCAAATTTATTTTAAAAGATTTATGCAACCAAGAATATTTTACAATGTTCTGCTTGCTTTTGTGGACTCTGGAAGAAGTTTTTAAGAATTTAGGACCTGAACATTGTTAATCTGACCATTAACCATATGAAAACTAACATTACCTCTGCGCCTTAGTTACCTGCTTCTTGTAAAGGTCTACATGTTGCTGTAATTAGAATGTGTAAATAAGTTATAAGCCATCTCAATATCCTATCATGATTTATGATATCTTTAATGTATTTTTAATTATCTTCTAGAAGTTTAGTTTATAGTATGACTTTGAAGTTCGAATTGTGTTAGAGAGACAGCTTTAAAGTATTATAAGGGATAACAGGTAATTGGGATATGTGTAATTTTTATTGTGTCACTATCAATAAAAAAATGAAATATACCAACTAGAGTGCGTTTTTCATGCTGAAAAGAATAATGTGTTGGTGTGGTGTTTGGTGTTTTGCTGCCAATCATTATCCAAGACCAACTAAACTAAGTTTATTTACTCATTGCTTACTCAACAGTTCTGTACTTTCTGATCAGTCATTGCCCTATAAACCTGCATGTGTGTTTTTCCCTTCACACGTGTGAAGATTTAGGTGTGTGGTCGGCCCATTCTTTTGAAACACTCATATGTGTAAAATATCCTCTGCCTTCATGGGAATCAACTTAATGAGGGAGAATCTGGGAACATTTTATCTATGATCTTTTGTTTTGTTTTGTTTTTCAGGAAGGGTTTCTCTGTATAACCATCCTGGCTGTCATGGAACTTGCTCTGTAGACAAGGCTGGCCTCAAACTCACAGAGATCCTCTTGCCTCTGCCTCCCAAGTGCTGGGATTAAAGTGTGCACCACCATTTTACATATGATTAAAAATTTTTTATCCCTAGTACACGAATGGACTTTGGGAGCCCACATGAGGAAGGGCCTAGATCCTGCTCCAAATGATATGACAGACTATGAAGATTCCCCATGGAAGGCCTCACCCTCCGTGGGGAGCAGAAAGGAGTTGGGATAGGAGGTTGGTGGGGAGGAAGGGAGGGAGAGAGAACTGGGATTGACATGCAAAACAAGACTGTTTCCGATTTAAATAAAAAAATTGATTGACAAAATTTTTATTTCATTAGCTGAATGAAAAATTTACATCTTCAGATTAATAAATTAAAACTTAATAAATATTTAACATTAACATTTTTATTACTGCTTTGCTTTTTGTTCTTAACATGCCTCTGTGTTTCTGTTATAACAGAGTATAGGAGATAATTTGAAAAAAGAAAGAGAGAAAAAAAGATGGAAGAAATATGTATTCTTGTTCAGATTTTGAAGGCTTCTGTTTATGCTCAGCTCCTTGTATTCAGTCTGTGCCAAGGCAGTTTCGTGGCTGTAATACATGGCAGAGAAGCTCCTCTCATTCAAGCTAGGAAGCAAAGAAAGAAGAGAAAAGTCTGGCAAAACAAAACCCTTCACGGGTACATCCTCGCCTCCCTGTCTGAGCAGCCTGTAGGATACAGTATAGGGTCCAAACAGCAGATTCCAGTTCCTGAGCAAATTATTTATAAATGCTGTGTCAGTGTTCTTTAAAGTTTCAGAAAAATCCCAGGTACACAGTATGTCACTTCTCAAACCTAAAGGTCATTTGTAATTGTAAACTGTAAATTCAAACTCCCTTTTTAAATTAGATACTGAGACTATTCACATAACATCGATGTCAAGCCTGGAAAACATTGCATTTGTACAACATCTTAAACATTCTTAGATATGAAAATAACAGAAGGCAAAATGAGGGTAATGCAGGTTCATTGTTGTGCGTACCCCAATGGTGGTAAATGTTTTTACAGACTTCTGAAAGAGAACAAAGCTATATAATCCAGTCTCTCAAAATCCAGAAATTCCAATGAATGGGCATTTGGGAAACTGAAAATGATCAAGATAGTGTAGTGGTTTAGTAGCTTAGCTAATATGATAGACCGTCATAAATTGCTTTCATTAGGATGCAGCCAGAATGTCAAGAGTTGCCTCAAATATAGATAGAAAAGATGTGCGGTGGTGGCGCACGCCTTTAATCCCAGCACTCGGGAGGCAGAGGCAGGCGGATCTCTGTGAGTTCGAGGCTGGGCTGGACCGATAGCCTCCAAAACAATACAGAGAAACCCTGTCTCGAAAAACCAAAAAAAAAAAAAAAAAGAAAAAAAGAAAAGAAAAGATGTGATGTGGTTTTTTTTTTGCATGTATTTATTTTTTGTAAAGAAAATGCCGCATCAGTCCCAAATAAACACACAGGAGGCTATATTAATTATGAAGCTGTTGGCCTTGCTTGTTTCTTACTGGCTAGCTCTGACTTAAGTAATTACCCCATAATTGTTAATCTAAGTATGTCTCTTACCGGAGAAGTTTCCGGGCTTCCTACCCCATGGCGTTACATCTTGACTCTCTGTGTTTCTCCTTCCCAGAGTCCTTCTGGACTCCTAGTCCCACCTATCTTAGTTCGCTATTGGCCAACAGTGCTTTATTGACAAAACACAGGACTTCCCCAACACAGCCTAGAGAAGGCACCAATAACACACTAAAGAAATGAATCTAATATCCATCTTGGTGAACCAGGGGTTTATTGCGACTACTCCGGAGTATGAGTGAAAGGTTACTAACAGAATTGTGGACAACTTAGAGTCAGCCACATTGCCAAAGAGCTCCATTCCTCCCAGTATGGCTGGTGACTCAGAAAACCTGCATCCGTGGAGGTCAGCACATAGGCAGACAATTCAACTGTCAGAGTTTCCTCTTGAAGTGGTGCTTTCTACTCAGCACCATGATTCAGGTGAGTTTCAAGGACTTCCCAATACTTGGTGGTAGTTTACTTCCTATGTCTTACTGAACTGCCCTTTAGAAGTTTCAGATACTAAAGGAGCTGCCCTCCAGGAAATTGCTTCATTATAGGACATTTTTAAATTTGAGATTTGATGAAGCCCCCAGAGCTGGGAAGTGCTGGTGCTCGGCTTCAAAACCAAACACTCTCTTTAGGATAGATTATTCAAAATAGATAAAAGAAATACAGGTATTATTGGTAATATTACTAAAAGCAAAATTGATTGGAAAAACTGTTGGCATTTCAGTCTGATCGGGATGGGGATGGGTCAGGTATTCTGGCACTCAGGAGTCACAGAATACTAAGTGTTACACAGCTCAGGTGGAAAGGTATCCCGGAGCTCGGGAGCCAAGGATCACCACAGATTGCAGTAAGCATAGCAGTTTACAGCCCAGCCTCAGGGAAAGGCTTCCCCAGTGTATCAGCTCCGCTCTGGCAGGACAGGGTCTTCCAGCTGGGGATGTTCGCCCAGTGTAGCAGTTCTCGGTAGAAGTTACTACAGCTCAGCTCCGCTCCTGGAGAGCAGAGAGCAGGGAGAGCAGCTCTGCTCTGCCAAGGGAAGGTTTCCCGGGCAAGTGTTATAGCCCTGCTTGCTCTGCTCTGCTCTGCCCAGGGTTGCCTCTTCTCCATCGCCGCCGCAGCAAAAGAAGATCTTCACCCAAAGCTCATTGAAGGGGTTTATTAGAAGGAAGCAGCTGGACCAGCCAAGCTGAACATACACAGGGTTTATATAGGAATTCCTGGGGGCAGGGAAGTTTTTCTAGGGTAGGGATTGGTCCGATTTCAGTGCTGAGATCAGATTGGCTAGAGCTCTGCTCGAGGATTGGTTAGTTTTCTGCACAGGATTCAGGTCAGATTTGGCTCTGGTTTCAGGACTAAAGTGTGTTTCTTTCTCTGGTCCTTTTTAGCCTTTTGGCTCCAATTTTAGGGCCAGGATGCATTTCTTTCACTGGCTCAGATTCCAAGGACAAAGTGTGTTCCTTTGGCACTGGTTTCAGGGTAGGTACATTTCTTTAGTTCAGGTTGCAGGGCCAAAGTGTGTTTCTTTGGCCCTGCTCAGGGTGTGTTTCTGACTGGTCCCTTTTCCCTACAGGATAGAATAGTATTCAGGCACTTGGGACCCAAGGAATACCACAGGTCACAGTAAGCATAGCAGCTTACAGCCTTGCTTCAGGGAAAGGCTTTCCTAGTGTATCAGCTCTGCTTCCTCAGGAGAGGGCTTCCAGGTGAGGTTGTTACAGTTCAGCTCCATTCCCTCCAGAGAGTGTAACAACTTCAGTTAGCCAGGGGAAGGTTTACCCAAGTGAAAAATGTTACAGTCCTGCTCTGCTCTGCTCCACCCAGGGTCGTCTCTGCTCAAGTGAAAAAAGGTCTCACCCAAACTTCATTCAAGAGATTTATTGGGAGGGAAGAATCCAGGGTGGCAGAGGGCAGCCAGGTAACACAAAAAACCACAAGCTGAACAGACACAGGGTTTATATAGGCATTCCTAGGGTGGTGATTGATCAGATTTCAACCCCTGAGTTTAGGGTGGCTAGATCTGCTCAGGGATTGGTTAGTTTTCTGCACAGGGTTAGGGTCAGATTTTGCTCTGGTTTTAGGGCCAAAGTGTGTTTCTTTCACTGGTCCTTTTTAGTCTCTTGGTGTAGTTTTAGGGTCAGGGTGTATTTCTTTCACTGGCTTTGATTCCAGAGATAAAGTGTGTTCCTTTTGCCACTGGTTTCAGGGTCAGGGTACATTTCTTTGGTTCTGGTTGCAGGGTCAAAGTGTGTTTCTTTGGCTCTGCTCAAGGTGTGTTTCTTTGGCTGGACCCTTTTCCGTACAATAGGTTGATACAAATTATGAATTATACCCTAAGTACTTGAATTTTTTTCTTTCAGAATTTTAGCATAATCAATGTTTTGATTTTCATAATTATGTGCATTTACTTGTGAAAATTCCTGCTTAATTCAGGGTGATATAACAGAATAACCATAGCCTTGGCAGCTCACATACAACAGAAGTAGAGAATGGAGATCTGCCGTCAGGCTGCCAGTGCTTTAAGGTTCTGTTGAGAGCCTTCTTCTCATCCACAAGTTCCATCTTCTCATTATATCCCAACAGAAAGGAGGAAGAGAACACTGTGGATAACTTTACAATAGTACAAATGCCATTATATCCTGAGAGCTCCACCGTTATGAACTAATCACTTCCCAAAGACTGTTCCTCCCAATATCACACTGGTGTTTAGGATTTCAACCTGTGCATTTTGTGTAAACTTGGGGCAAATTCAACTTGCTTGAATTTAGCATACCCAATACTCTGGTATGCTAAATATATATGCATGCAAATATATATGCAAATTTAACTACCTTTATGAATAGCATCTACTCTTTTACTATTTTTCTATTTCGTAGTTTTAAAACATATTAGTTACTCACTGTGCTCTATTATAACATAAAGAGGATTTATTTTGACTTGCTGTTCTTGGAGATATAATACATCATTGTGGAGAAAGTATGGTACCAGCAGCAGGAAGCAGCTAGGCTGTCTGTATC